GGACCCCGCGCCTCTGAGGGGCGCCCGAGCCCAGGCTGCCGTTGCCTTGTGGGGCCGGCACCTCTGTCCCCGGGCCCCCGCCCGCCAGGGCAGCCGGCAAGCTCGCCCTCCCGTGTTTTGTGTTTTGACAGTCACTGTTTCTGGTTTTTCTTCTTTTGGGTAGTTTATTCTTTGAGCTGTCAATGGGCTCAGCTTTATTTTTATTTTGGGGGACATCCTTTCCTTTTCCTTAGTTTATTCTTTTTCTTTTTTTTCGGCATTTTGGACTCCTAATCCTGAGTGGCAGAACGGGCCCGAGCAGAATGAGGCATTCAGTCTAGTAGTCTTGAGTGGGTGGCCGGCCAGACCCTTGGAAAGGAGGCCTTCTGTCCCCTTAATCTTGAGTGACCCTTGGAAAATGACAGGCTGAGCGGAAATTTTCAAAGGCGTCCGTTCCCTGGGTGATTCCAGAAATGCAGGGCGCGGGGTGGGCGCCCCGGTCTCGCCCCTGGGTGGCGGCCTGGTGCGCGTTAGTGTCCCGGCGTCCCCGCTGGGGCTGGGCAGTGTGCCGTTGTGGGGGGAGCGCAGCAGGCGCCGTGGGCGGGCGTCTTGGGGCGCCCTTTCGCGCGCTGGTCTTGGGGGGGGTGACGGGGCCTCCAGGGGACCCGGCGGGGAAGCCCGCGCGCTCCGCCTCTCGCGCGCGCTGGGAGCGTGTCAGTTTTTGGAAACGTCGCGGCCGGGGGCGGGGTCGGAACGGAGGGACCGCCTAGGAGTCGGTGTCGGCTCCTCGGCGGGGTTCTCCGCGGTCGAAGGTTTCGTGGTTCCCACCCGCTGCGCGCCGAACCTTTGGAGTATCGCTCATCCAGCAGTCGGAGTCCAGGTTGAGCCTGGCTCTGGCTTTTCCGGTTGGGCTGCTCCAGGGTGCGTCCGGGGGGCGGCCTGAGCCGTGGGCAGGGCGGGGACACGTCCAAGGCGACGGAAATAAAGTGGGAGAAGCTTCAAAACTCCAGCCTTTCCACCGGCTTCCCTCTCTCTGCGCCCCTGTGGCTAGCCAGTGCGTTGTTTAAAATGTAAATATTTCTCATTCTTAGCGGACACGCCGTGTAATTCACCCTGTTTGGCATGCAGTCCTATGGGTTTTGACGGATCCATGCCAGGAAGATCACGGCACTCCTCAGTGTCCGCTCTGCTGCCCTTTACCGTCAACCCACGTCTCATCCCTTGGCCACCGCTGACTTCTCTATCCCTACACATTTGCCTTTTCCAGAAAGTTAGATCAGCGGACTTAGCGGCGTTTCCATTCTGGCTGCTGCCTTTCAGCAGACATCCCTGAGGTTCGCCCATGTTGGAGCGGGTATAAAAAAGTCATCCCATTTTTTTGCTGTTTCGTAGGCCAATTTTTTTGCTGATCCATTCACTTCCCAGTGGCAGGACACTGCCATGTTTCCGGTTTCGGAGGGATTAGAAGTGAAGTGGCTCTAGACACCCTCAGGCAGGTTTTTGTGTGAACTTGAGCTTCAGCTCACTTAGGGAGGTGCAGCAACAGGGCGGGGCGCGTGCCAAGTG